ATGTGAAAGTTATGGAGGGGTGGAAATTGGAGGCTAAATTAATGAAGTTTTCAAGGTCCTGGTGGGAGCAATGGAGCAGCACCAAAGCAGTCGTCAATGTAACGATAAAAAGAATTGTGGGAGGAGGCCAGCGTAAGACTGAAACAAGGATTGCTCCACATGCCCCATAAAGAGGCAGGCGTCACTGGGACCCATGCAGGTGCCCATGGCCACTCCTTTGACTTGGCAGCAGTGAGATGAATTAAAGGAGAAATTGTTCAGTGAGAGAACAAGTTCAGCCAGGGGGGAGGAGAGTGGTGGTGCATGGAGATTGTTCTGGCATCTGGTCAAGGAAGAAGCCGAGAGCTCTGGGACCATCCTGGTGGGGATTGGAGGTTTAGAGGAATTGGACATCCCATGGTGAACCAGAGGCAGTTGAGGCCAGGGAACCAGAAATTGTCAACATGGTGGAGGGTATCAGAGGATTCGTGGATGTAGGGGGCAGGAACTGGACAAAGGGAGAACAGCTGGAGTCAAGGTAGGAGGAAATGAGTCCGGTGAGGCAGGAACAGGCTGATACAGTGGGCCTACTGGGGCAGTCTGGTTTGTGGATTTTGGGAAGGAGGTAGAAGTGGGCTGCCTGGAGTTGGGGGACTATAAGGTTGGAGGCAGTGGTGGGGAGAGAGGTTGGAGAGCGGGGGGAAATCTCCAGAGGTAATGACAGCCCTGGCAACAATGGCTTGATGTTCGGATGTAGGGGGCAGTAGGAAGAAGTGTTTGAGAGCTAGCTTTGAGCCTCTGCAAGGTAAAGATCAGTGCACCAGACCTGAGAAAGTGAAGTGCAGCACTTTCAGAAAGGGAACAGGTTAAAATGGGTGACAGGAGCAGAGAAATCGAGATGGCCAATGTCACATTGAAAATTGCCAATGAAGAGAGATCGAGGGCAGGGAAAAGGCCGGGGAAGGTTTCCAAGTGGAAGGTGAATACGGGAGGCGGGTGAAGGGATCAGTGGGGGCGGGGGGGTCCTGTCCAAAGGAGTCAACATGGAGATGGAGGCGACGGTAATACAGTTCAACAGCATGACAAACCCGAAATTCATTAAGGTGGGGGCATAAGAGTATGAAACTCAGTCCTTTGTCGAGAACAGCATGTACAGCCTCACAGTGCAGAAGGTCAGGAAGTATAGTAAATGCATGGCAAGGGCTGGGTTTGGGGGCAGTGGGGAGGCTGCCCGAGGGGGACAGGAAATGATGGTAACCGAAGGCTGGGTGTTTATGGGCAGTCCGCAGGACAGATGTTGGAGTCAATAAGTTGCTGGAGCTTGCTCGCCTTGATGCCCGTAAGAAGTCGTCTTTTATTGGAGGTGACAGATGAGGCAAAGGATGAAATAAAACTGGGGACCAACGCAGCTTTGAGAGGGGGTGAGTCGATGTTGCTGCAGAGTGGAGTGGAGTAGAGTAGAGTAGAGTGCACACATAGGCCAGTGCATAGCACTGATCGTGGATCGCAGGATCCGGCAGAAACAGCAGTCTGACAAACATCGTACGTCCTGGAGATACTTGTAATCCTGGGTGAATTCAAAACACAAAACATGAAACTTGAGTTGAAATCCCTTGGTGGGGGGTGGTAAAAGCCGAGTCATTGGCAGTCGCTGAGGAAGGAAACATAGCTGTGGAAGCAAGTTTTTGCAAAAAGCTTGTCAAACACCAGCAGTAAAAAAAATCGACAACAATGAAGATGTACACGGTCAGAGTCAACTGGATTTCCTATGGTAGGGAAGAGCAAAACTTCTTCAGGATAGGTATTACTGAGATGTGGCGGTTAATTAAACAATATGCATGAACAAATTACTGCAGATACCGGAATCTGTACTAAAAGCAAAATGTAGGAGCCCCACATTCCTGTAGCTGGTCATTTTAACACAGTCTCCTGCCCACATGGCCAAATATCCGTCCTCAGCATGCTGCTGCATTCTAGTGAATCACAGTGCAAACTGGAGGAACATCTCATCTTCAGACGAGGAACCTGACAGCCTTCTGGGCTTAATACTGAGTTCAATACCTTTAAATTGTGAACCTTTTCTTCTTGTTTATCATGTCCTCCCATCCCCTTTACTGTCCTTTCGAGTCTGGCAGTTAGACACACCATTGTTCTTCCATTCTAATCATTTAATCTGAACTATCAACATCTTTTCTCCACCAGCATCCCTACACTCACTACCCCCAACCAAAACTACAGCATAAATGCTGTTCCTCCACACTTCACTTCAACTCTGATGATGCATCATCAAGACTTGAAATGTTGGCTCGCTCTCCAGCATTTGTTGTTTTCAGAATTGTTAGTTTACCTGTTGCTGACAATCATAGACAAGGGCTGATTAAGCAACAACTAGGCATCATGTTGCCCAGATCTTGCTACATTTGGACAGATTGTTTTAGTGTCTTAAGAGTTGCAAATGGTAGCAGACATGGCACGAATCATTGGCAAACAGCCTCACTTTTAAAGTGGAGGCAAGGTCAGTAGTGAAGCAGCTAAAGACAGCATGACTACAGCACAACCCTGACAATATCCTGGTAATGAAATTATTGGCTTTCAATAACAAACATCATTGCTCGTGCTAGGTTGAACTCCAACTAGCGCATGTTCCACATTTTCCCAATGATTTAAAAAGTTTATTATTGCAGCAAGTCAAATGCTGCAAGAGTCGTAACATAAACGTTACCAGCTTTAAATTAAGGCCACAATGAGATGTGAACACAAATTGCACTTCCAGTCTAGATTGAGGGTCTAAGTATCATTTGATAGTGCTACTAACAATACTTTTTATCAGTCCATTTCATCTGCAGTGAAATGATAGGACAGTAGTTGAGCTTTTCCTGTCTTTTATGGGAGACTCATAACTGATAATGTAGAGAATTGTTCAATGGTGTAAGCTTTACAGTAAGTTTGCTTAGAGATACAGTCAGTTTTGGAACTGAGGCCTTCAGTACTATAGCAAGACTGTCATACACATTCACCCTTTCTTGAAATCACTAGCACAGTAGCACTAGGAAGTTTAGCAAGGCATGAAATACAGCAGAACTTCCATATATGAACAGGAGGCACAGCAAAACTACCCACTATAACAACTAGAAGCACTAATTAATTTAGACTGCTGAGAAAGCAGAGCAGAGTGTCACATTTGCCGTATTCATAAATCCCCATTTGCACAAGCTGGAATTGGTTACAGATATAATGCTACTTAAAATAAGAGACATCAGACTACTGATCCTAATGCAATTTGCCAAGAATCTAGATTGTGAACAGCTTGATCATAACCCTGACCTCTTGTTCTTTTCAAATACAAGTCTCAAGGTTCCTCTCCAGTTCTTGAAAAGTGGCAAAGGATGCTATCATTGACCGGACCTTCCCCATTATGGCCTGAGACGGGGCTCAAAAGCAAGAATTAGAGTACCATGGAGAGCAGCAACAACAACAACAACAAATGAATACACAATCAATGCTAATTAAAAACTATGAAAGCTACACTGGATTAGCTTGAAAATTTGTACAGGAAAATTAGGAAATTACTGGAATTCAAACTGTACTTGCAAAAAACTGCTTACAAAGGTTATCTCAGTTGGATGGATAGCTAGTTTTCAATGCAGAGTAATGCCGATAGCATGGGTTGAGTTCTTGTACCTGCTGAGCTTACCACGGACTCCTTCTCAACCTGTTCCCTTGCCTTAAGCATGGTGACCCTCAGTTTAAACCACCACTAGCTGTGTTTCTCTAAAAGAGCAGCCCAACGTCTGCCAGGACAATAAAAACTTTACCTCCAACTTTTGCAAGAACTATCTAGCACACATTAGAAAAACATTAAAAAACACACACTCGAACTTCTGTCATCACTCCAGTATAACCAACAGTACACAATCCTGCCTTCAAGTAAACCAACTCTAGTAAAATAATTGCAAGTGATAGATTAGATACTTCGGAATGATATAAAAGGCACTAATTTGAGGAGTTTAATCACAATAGTTAGTGCAACTTTAAAAATCAGCAAAAACCCAAGACTATAGTATTCCCTTTTTAGGAATTTTTTTTTTTTTTTTTTTTTTTTTAAGAAAAAGTTCTGGAATGATTTCAGGTAGTGTTTGCCCCCAGCTCTGCATCTTCCTTCACTAGATGTAAACTTTGTTTTCTTTTAATTCATTCATTCACACAGAATGTGGGTGGTTCTGGCTAGGCCAGCAATCACCACCCATCCTCAACTGCCCAAATGTCAGTCAAGAAATAGACACATTGCAATCACAGGTAAGGATGCAGTTTCGTCCCCTGAAAGAGGATAATCAGCAGGGTTTTTTTTGATAAAGACCGTCATTAGACACTTCACTCCATATTTTTATTGAATTCAAATTCCACTATCTTCCATGGTGAGATTCAAACCTGGGTACCTAGATCATTACATGGGTCTCTGGATTAACAATCTAGCAATAATGCTACTAAGCCATCATCTTCCTTTATTACCCCCTTGCTCCTCACTTGATGCCCTTAAATGCATTATTATACCCCAGAGAAATCATTTCTTCATTTACTATGAACTTTACTGTTTTTGATGGAACAGACAAAAACTCACTTCAATTATCTTAACAAGCAACATCCAAGAACAGCTAGTTGCACAAGTCAACAGACAAATGGCTTTTAACCAATGGATTCTAACCAGCCAATTCAAGTCATTTCACTTTAACCAGAAAAATTTAGAAATTATTTTCATCATTACAGTTATTCACTATATGGCAACATAACATTAACTCAAATACAAAAGTTTTTTTTTTTTTTTTTTTAAAAAGAAAACCATGGATTGCTAAAGGTTTGTTAAAAGGGTACCACAAGTTATGATGCAAAAGCACTAATGGTAATCGTGGCAAAGATTAAGAACAGGAACAAGACAAAGAAACATTTTCAGAAGTTAAAAAAGGGATATAAAAAAAAGTGTATTCTGGAGTCATGGTCTCAGAAATGGAGAAAAACATTCCAAATCATGGTTTAACAGTTTTAATTTCTAGGACAATTGTCAAGACATTGGTTTTCACTTAAAAGTACAGCTTTTAAAACTAATAACTTAAAACTGCTACAACGTAGATTAATGAAGTGGTCCACAATCATTTCCTTCGGAAGTATTTACGATGCATTTTGATTAACCAGTCTTTTATTTTGGAGCTTAAATGGTAAACTGTGATCATCCACTCTAAAACTGGGCTGCCAACTGTGGAGGCTGAAGAAGTGGCAACCGATAAATGTCGAATTCATCTGCTTTTCTGAGCCTTTTGGGCAGACTTGGTTACTTTGCCAGCACCAGTAGCCTTTCTCTCAACAGCTTTGATGACGCCAACTGCCACAGTTTGTCTCATGTCACGAACCGCAAAACGACCTGGAACATTTTTTTTTAAAAAGTCTGGGTTACATTCAAGTTTAGTTTGACAGTAGTTGAACAAGTATGCAATTTTACTTACCTAAAGGTGGGTACTCAGAGAAGCTCTCAACACACATGGGCTTCCCAGGTATCATTTCAACGATGGCAGCATCCCCAGACTTGAGAGATTTGGGGTTATCTTCTAGCTTCTTTCCAGAGCGACGGTCAATCTTCTCCTTTAACTCAGCAAACTTGCAAGCAATGTGAGCAGTATGGCAATCCAAGACAGGAGCATAACCAGCAGCAATCTGTCCTGGGTGGTTCAAAATGATTACCTGTATTAAAAGAAAATTGGTTTTCAATATACAATTTAAACATTTTACTGCAAACATTTTTCAGAAGAGGAGAAACTTTGAACAGCATATTTAAAGCATCCGAAAGGCACATGAGAAAATATGGCCATAGATAAATATACTATGCCAGGTGACCCACAAAATTTATTAAAAGAAAGATTTTAGAAAGTACCTTAAGGAGGTAAGATACAGGAACAGAGGAGTTTACTGAGGGAATTTCAGACTTCAAGAGCAAAGCACCTGAAAATGTGGATACCACTGGAGGAGCAATTAAAACTGAGAAAATAATTGGATAAAAAAAAAGTGTGACAAATTGCTAACGTAACATCCCTGTTTAAAAAAGGGAGTAAGGCAAAAGACAGAAAATTACAGGGCGATTAGCCTAACCTCGGTTGTGGGTAAGATTTGAGTCCACTGTAAAGGATGAGATTTCTGAATATTTGAAAGTGTATGGTAAAATAGGGCAAAGTCAGCATGGTTTCATCAAGGGGAGGTCATGCCTGACAAATCTGCTAGAATTCTTTGAGGAAGTAATAAGCAGGGTAGACCAAGGAGAACCAATGGATGTTATCTACTTGGACTTCAAGAAGGCCTTTGACAAGGTGCCACACAGCAGGCTGCTGAGTAAGATAAGGGCCCATGGTGTTAGAGGCAAGGTGCTAGCATGGAGAGACGATTGACTGTGTGGCAGAAAGCAGAGAGTGGGGATATAAGGGTCTCTCTCAGGATGGCAGCCAGTGACAAGTGGTGTTCTGCAAGGGTCAGTGTTGGGACCAAAACTTTTCACTTTATACATTAATGATCTAGATGAAGAAACTGTGGGCATTCTAGCTAAGTTTGCAGACGATACAAAGATAGGTGGAGGGACAGGTAGTATGGAGGAGGTGGGGAGGCCGTAGAAGGATTCAGATAGGTTAGGAGAGTGGGCAAAGAAGCAGCAGATGGAGTACGATGTGGGAAAGTGTGAGGTCATGCACTTTGGTAAGAAGAACAAAAGAACGGATTATTTTCTAAGTGGGGAAAAAATGCAGAAGTCTGAAGTGCAAAGAGACTTGGGAGATCTAGTCCAGGATTCTCTCAAGGTAAACTTGCAGGTTGAGTCAGTAGTCAGGAAGGCAAATGCAATGTTGGCATTTATTTTCAGAGGACTTGAAAATAAAAGCAGGGATGTACTACTGAGGCTTTATAAGGCTCTGGTCAGGCCACATTTGGAGTACTGTGTGCAGTGTTGGGCCCCATATCTCAGGAAGGATGTACTGGCCCTGGGCGGGTTCACAGGAGGTTCATGAGAATGGTCCCAGGAATGAAAAGCTTAACAATATGAGGAACGTTTGAGGACTCTGGGACTATACTAATTGGAGTTTAGAAGGATGGGGGGGGGGGAAGAAGAGTCTAATTGAAACTTACAGAATACCGAATGGCCTGGACAGAGTGGATGTTGGGAAGACGCTTCCATTGGTAGGAAAGACTAGGACCTGGGGGCACAGCCTTAGAGTAAATGGGAAGACAAGGAGAAAAACTTCTTCAGCCAGAGAGTGATGAATCCATGGAATTCACTGCCACAGAAGGCTGTGGAGGTCAGGTCATGGAGTACATTTAAGACTGAGATAGATAGGTTCTTGATTATCAAGGGGATCAAGGGTTACGGGGAGAAAGCGGGAGAATGGGATTGAGGAACTTATCAGCCATGATTGAATGGCAGAGCAGACCTGATGGGCCAAATGGCCTAATTTCTGCTCCTATGTTTTATAAACAATTGCCTACGAAGCCATTTGAAAACAAAAAGTTGAGGATTCTAAAATTGTGGTCTTTCTGACCTGCAGCCGATGCAGGTCAAAAAGCACAGAGCAACGGCTGAATCATGGAGTCAAAACATTAAATGGAGATTTAGATAATCAAAACATTTGAGGATTGAAAATGGGAGGGTGGTCAGGAGCACATTATAAAGAGTCAAATCTAGAGATAAATAATGTATACATCCAAGTTCCAGCAGCAAATATGCTGAGATGAGTCAGAGTTAAACAATGCAACAGGTGGGAAGTAGGCAGCGTTGGTGGTTATATAAATGTGGTGTTAAACTCATGATCAAATACAAACAAAGATCATGAATGATCTTGCTCAGTTCACGACTGGTTACCAAGAATGTAAACTGCCATCAGGGAACAGGCTGTGTTGAGGACTGAACTGGCTACACAGCCCTCCCAATATTTAACTAGAGAAGGCATCTTCTCAGACATGCAGCTTGACAAGTTTAATAAAAGGTCCATGGACAGTGGTGGTGAGAACCAAATTGTCACTGGCACACGTGGCTTCTGGTCGGCAGTCTCAAAAAAAGGTACCATGAGAGGATAATGTTTAGATGTAGATGAGAAGTTATAGGGGCCAAGGATAGAATGAGTAACAGAATGGAGGGGAGAAGCCTTTGTGGCAGATTTTCTAGCTATAAACAGGATAGATAAGAATGGACAAAGGTAAGACAGCTTGATGACAGTAAACAGGATTTGGAAGGAGGGTGAAGTAGTCAGTTTTATCACAAAGAATCCTGAGACTTTGACAAGGGTCATTTCAAGCTGTTACTGGACCAGAAACTTCATTGGAAGGTTTCAGACACTGAGATGGAGAAAGCAAGCACACAGATTTAGAAGCAACAAGTACATTCAAGAAATTCAGGGGCAAATAAAATGAGAGAGGTTAAAAGGAGAATTTAAGTAGAATGATGACCAATGTTCTATCAAGTGCTGTGCTCTCATATAACTTAAAAATACCATGCAGTTAACACAGACCACACAAACATCTTCAAGGGAATGTTGCTAATGTACATGGCAACTTTAAAAATGACTGCACAGTACATTACTTCAATTGCACGGAACAAATACTGGTGATGATAGTAAATTTAGGAGGGGACTTAAAGTGCCGAAGGAGAAGGAGCTATTAACAGTATCGAGCAATGTAAAAGCTCTGAAAGGAAGTTAACTGTCAATTTGTTCAGACTGGGAGGGGATGGGGAGTGCACTGTAAGAGATATGATAGACTCAGGACATCAGGTGAGTGTTAGGGTAACAGGGAACGCATTTATCTTATTGAACTGGAATCCATGAAGTTCTTCTTTTTTTGTTATTGAAGGCAATGGCCATTTAAGAACATGTTTTCCATTGAAGTAAGGATTATATTTTCATGCACAATAGGTCAACAGTTTTAGTGATCAACAGGATAATTGACAATGCTTTAAAGTGGTCCAGTTAGATCTGACTAAAATCACACTTACCAAAGACTTACAATTCAGTGATTTTTTGGTTTAACAAAAATCAGATGAGGAAAATACAAGGAGGAACAATTCAGTCAAGACAGTAAACATTTAAAGGTTGAGGTGTAATCAGCAAATCATGCTCTAGGCCAAGCATTTGGGTAATTTATAAGTACATGCGTAAGACCCAAGGGGGAAGGGTTTATTTCCGAAAGACAAAGAAATGACACGAGAGGGGGTGATCAAGGGCATAGAGCAATATTGAAATGACAGACCTCCTTGTCTAATTAGTGTTATTAACAATGGAGTAACAAGGTCACATGAAATTAAAAGATTCAGGGATGTGGCCACATGTGGCTAGAAGAGATTGTGGGAGGAGAGGGCTGCAGTAAACCAAAAAAAAAAAATCACCAAAAAAAGTCACAGTACAGAGACAGAGACAGAGGAGGAGTAGAAAAAAAATCTCTAATGAGAAACTTGATGCAACACTTGTATGGGTAATACAGAACAAGGAAGTTACACTGACTTTTTGAAGATACAGAGGAAGAAGAGGGGAAGAGTGAAAAAAGTTAATCGAAGGGCGCAGGTGCAAAATGGCAAAAATATGCGCCTCAAAAAAAGGACACCAGAAAATTAATGATGCACAAGCAACCTACAGAATGGACGGAACATAATCTGTGGGGAAGACCAAGCTGAAATTAGGTCTAATGAAGATGCTGCTGGTTGGATGGAATCAGCAACAAAAACTAACACTGGTTGCCAAGCTACTGTTGCCAATGTGTATTCTGTAATTAGAAATTAGAGGAGTATACCTCAAATGTGCGCTTTCGAACATTTAAAACAGCTGGTGCCAGTGCCTACAGAAAATAAAAATCGAAACGTCCATGCTAAACTACCCATAGTATCAGGGCATGTGCAGAGTTACAGGCATGGGTGAGTCTGGGTGGGATGCTCTTCCAAGGGTCAGTGTGGATTGATGGGCCAAATGGCCTTCTTCCACATTGTAGGGATTCTATGATTCTAACAATACAGCCAAGGCTATGTCTGCTGATAGGTATGCTGGGAATCATTTATCTATAAGCAAACTACTGATAACAAGGTAACATTTTCCCAACCAATCAAAACTGAGAACTAAGAAGACAGCAAAACAATAAAACAAGTTACATGATTCAAACAAATTTCAGATAATGTCAGTCATCATTCCAACCTCTGTTGCTCCAACCTCAATTTGCATTTTGACACGACGACAAGATGTGATTTCTGTCTTCAACATCACCACCACCTGCACTAAGCCATACACTATCCTGACTCGGTACTATATTACCATTCCTTCAATGTCACCAGGTCAAAAATTCTTTCTAAAACAGCACTGGAGGTGTCCCTATACTATATGGTTTGCAACAGTTCAAGAAGGTAGCTCACCACCACCTACCTTGACGGAACTAGAGATGGATAACAGATGTTGGCCTAGTTAATGATAGCAATATCCCATTAAAAAAATGCAAGAATGAAAAGTAAGAAAAAAAACTAGAGTGTCAATATAGGTTTCCATTCAATGCCAAAGAACAATCTTGTAATTAATATGGACTAATAGAAAACAATGCCAAAGCACTGACTTGTGAAGTGAAGTTGGCAGCTTCCATTGGTGGGTCATTCTTGCTATCCCCAGCAACATTGCCACGGCGAACATCTTTTACAGACACATTCTTAACATTGAAGCCAACATTGTCACCAGGCATAGCTTCAGTCAGGGCTTCATGGTGCATTTCAACAGATTTTACTTCTGTTGTCACATTAACAGGTGCAAATGTAACTACCATTCCGGGTTTCAGAATACCAGTTTCAACACGACCCACTGGTACAGTACCAATACCTGCAAGTGAACATAACAAGTTCATACTTTAAGATTTGTAAAGCAGCTTGCCCAACCCAAAATGTACACATTGAACTTGCTAAGTTCAATAGCACCACCATTTAAAATTATGATTAAGAAACAAAGGCCATAGATTCAAATACCACTATTACTAGAGTGGTTGCAATATACAGTGATCATTCAGGTCATGTTATTTCTAAAGTTAATACTTTTGTGGCCTCCTATTCTCATCATACTACATTATAAGAATGGTATACATTGTATTTTTACTGAGCAGGAGACATGGATTTGTCATAATAACAAGTTTGTTCACTTTAAACTTCTTTGATATTCGAGAACTTTATTATTAAAGCTATTTATTTCAAAATTTCAGTTGAAAAATCACAGCAGTAAATTCGGAATGAATTTGCTTAGGCTCAATACTTAAAGAAGTAAATGGACAGTACCCAAATTTTAAATTGGCATTCGTGCCTTTTGACAAAATGATCTTTTGTGACATCCACTGATGGATCATTTTTGTACATGGAAAAATCCACCACTAAGATCTAAGTTTTAGTAGAAAAATGAAGAACATATTTCGCTTCAAAACAGCCACTTGACAACATTCAGATCTGAATACTGTAATACTTGCCACCAATTTTGTAGACATCTTGCAGAGGAAGACGAAGGGGTTTTTCTGTTGGCCGTTGTGGTGGTAGTATAGAATCTAAAGCCTCCAACAAAGTAACTCCATTAGCATTACCTTCCTTACGGTTGATCTTCCAGCCTTTGAACCAAGTCATCTGTGTAAAAGAAACACCTTGAATATTTACTTGCTACTACCGAACAGTAATATAGCCTATGAATAATGTTCCTTTATATTCAGCAGATTTCACAACCACAAAAAAAAAGACAACTTTGGTACATACTTAACTTTGGAATGGGCAACCAACTCTATTAGATTAACTCCAGCCTTCCTGTTAAATGCAGAAAACAGTGACCCTGAGCCCTTATTCAAAATTAAGTAGGCTTAGGCATCATCAGCTGGCAACTGCAATACCGCCCCGATTAAGCACTAGGGCAAGGAGAGTTGATGCAGGACTCCCAGCAAGAACACAGGATGTCCATTAAAGACACCCATTTAATCCCCAACCCCACCAGTAGTCAGGCACCGTACACATCAGGAGATGGGTGATCATTAACTTTACTTCAGAATTCCTGCTTCCAACTCACCCCCACTACCACTGGCTTGAATGCCATGATGATCTCGGCCTTCTATTAGGTAGATTACACTGCCACAATGCCACTGCTGGCAATGACAATTTGCCAACTTTTGCATGGTGACAGCAATGTGGAATCTACACCACAGTAGACCCCAATCATGGGAAAGGCTACTATATTGCCCGGAAGGCACACAATTCCACAGGGAAGGTCCAACAGAATTCACAAGTATCCCCCAGTGTCTCTGAACAGTGGGCAAGGTTCCCATTAGCCCAACAAGATCATGGCCATCAGTAAAGGTAGCATCTTCAGCAACATTTAAGATTGCACAAGATTACTACAAATTAAACAAAAAAAGTGTTTTAAGTTACTTACATTAGAACTAGCCTCCAGCATGTTGTCACCATGCCAGCCAGAGATTGGTACAAATGCCACAGTGTCTGGATTGTAACCGATTTTCTTGATATAAGTGCTGACTTCTTTAACAATCTCTTCATATCGTTTTTGGCTATATGGGGGTTCAGTTGAATCCATCTTATTCACTCCAACGATGAGCTGTTTCACACCCAGAGTGTAGGCCAGAAGAGCATGCTCCCGAGTCTGGCCATTTTTAGATATGCCAGCTTCAAATTCACCAACTCCAGCCGCCACAATTAATACAGCACAGTCAGCCTTTAAAACAAATAGATATTATATAATTCACTTTACTGTCATTTTTCAAAACTGTTACCTTGGTAGTTCTTGTCTTGACATACCTGAGAAGTACCAGTAATCATGTTTTTAATGAAATCTCTGTGACCAGGAGCATCAATAATGGTAATATAATACTTGCTGGTTTCAAATTTCCAGAGAGAAATGTCAATCGTAATACCACGTTCACGTTCAGCCTTCAACTTGTCCAATACCCAGGCATACTTGAAGGATCCTTTGCCCATCTAGAAGAATAGATACAATGATTGCACATCAGAGCTGCTGCAAGCCAAAACAGAATGCTAAAATTATACAGAAACGCAATTCCAGCATCCAGAGGTTTTGATAAATTAAAACACGCAAAGACAAAATTATAAAAGCAAATCTTAGTCATGCAGATCAATGTTGTACACTAACCACTAGGAGATTTTTATATCAGCACTTGTAGCTTTGGCACTTAAAATATTGTGACAATCAGTTGCTGTTTCTCAAAGATTCAAGATCACAAAGCTTAGCACATCTGCACTGCTGAAATTCTAAGTCAACCATCCTGCCTGCTCCCATTCTGCAGAATGCAAAGGTATACCCAAGTTGGTCCTGTACTAACAGTTCTAACTATTGGAGATAATACTGGTGACGTTTTTATTTGGCTCTTACCAGGGAGAAAATAAGCCCCTAGCATGAACTGTTGTTTATTATTATGATGGTCACAATTTCTTATAATAATCTTGAATCATAGATTGAAAAATGCTAGTATTCACAGGAATGAAACTGGGGGCTCCAATTTTCATGCAAAGGACATTGAATGTGAAGGCATCAGCCCAGATGCCATTAGGCAATGGTGGTTTATCCAGAATTGACAGACAATGAAGATAGTGTTTTGTCACAGCTTTCAGAAGGATCATAGGAGTGCCGCAGTTTTTGTTCACTTTTCCCTTGGGAGGAAGGGCTAGCACAAACCAAGTTCAACAGATGCATTGGTTTCCCAAGGAGTTGTATTTTTGGCAGCAGTGTTTCTTGGGCAATAAGTGTGAAGCAACTATTCATTTCCACTGTAGAGGCCAGTTTCACTCGTTTCTTTTCTATTCAGTGCAGCAAATGCTTTTGAAAATGAAACAAAAATTGTTTATTTATAATTCAACTGACAGATCTGCAAACATTTATACAAACAAAAAAAAAAACTGTAGATGCTGGGAATCAGAAACAAAAACAGAATACTGGAAAAACTCAGCAGGTCTGGCAGTATTTGTGGAGAGAAAGCAGAGTTAACATTTCAGATTAACTGACCCTTCTTCATAACTATATTCTGAAAAAGGGCGACTGGACCCGAAACGTTAACTCCATTTTCTCTCCACAAATGTTGCCATACCTGCTAAGTTCTTTTCCCAGCAATTTCTCTTTTCGCTTCTGATTTCCAGCATCTGCAGTTCTTTCCGTTTTCACTAAGGTTGAGGGTTGTGTGGTGTATAAGAACTTCCTAAAGGCATTGGACAGCATCACATAACAGTCTTGCCAGCAAAGCTGAAGCCTGTGAACAAAAGGGTGACAGCATGGATACAAAGTTATCAGACTGATAGAAAAACAACTGGTCACCATTGCTGTTTACTAACTGCAGGACAGTGAACAGCGAGGTTCTCCAGGGATCAGTGTTAAACCCATTGATGTTTGTGGGTATTCTTGATTACCTTTGATGTACAGAGCACAATTTCAAAATTTATAGATGATAAACCCTGGAAGAACGCCAAGGATGATAATGACACAGCTCAAGGATACAGGGTAAGCCGTTTAAGATGGAGGAGAAATTTTTTTTCACAGAGTGGTGAGCCTGTGATATTCTCTGCTGCGGAAAGCAGTTAAAGGCCAAAACATTTAATGTTTTGAGAAGTCAATAAATATAGTTCTTAGGACCAAGGGATCAAAGGGTATGGGCCAAGAGCAGAAACAGCTATCGAGTTGGACCATCAGCCATGATTATATAAAATGTCAGAGGCCCGAATGACTTATTCCTATTTTCTATGTAACAGTTCAAAAGCAGAGACTGGTTGGTGGGAAGTACAGACAAAGATGAAATTTAATACAGCAGTGTGAAATAACAGATTTTGATGGGACTAGTGAGTAAACGCAATATAAAAATGATTTTAAAATAGCATGCAGGAGCACAAGAAAACTGGAAACACAATTGTTGAAGGTGGCAGAGCAGGTTGAGAAACTGGTCAGTAAGCCATATGGGATCCTGGGCTTTAATTGAGAGACAATTAAAAAAAGCAAGAATGTTAACCACTTTCATACAGCACTGAACCAGAAGAAACTGTAGATGCTGGAAACCTGAAACATCTACGGAGAGAAAACAGTCAATGTTTCAGGTACAGTGACCCTTCTTCAGCACTTCAGTGGGCATTACACTTCGAAAAATGTGGAGGATTAGTGAGAATATACGGAAAAACAGTTACGAAAATGGCTCTGGGAATGAGATTTCAGTTATAAAAGGAAAAAAGGTATTAGCCAAGCTTCTCTCAAGAAAGCCAAGATGATAAGACAAATTGAATGGTCTCCTTCTACACTGTAACACTTGTTTTTGTTTGCAGTTTATACTGATGTTGTGTACCTGACTTAAACACAAATTCTACGAGGATCTTAAATTTCAAATATATTTCAAGCAGTATACCCATGAACTCTATCACAGGCTAACAAAGGAATAAGACAACCCTGCAATTACAGCTTTTGCAAAAATAATTCAAATTGTTGGTAGTTTTTTTTGACCAGCTGTCAATTGGTTATTTTAAAAGTTTCTATACACTCAACGCATTTCCTCCGACAGTATACCACAACTATTAGATCTGACCCAAGATCAGATGTGTCAGGGACTAGTCTCAAGGCTCTATGCATATAATTAAGTTAGGTACACATAAGCAACCTTTTCGGCAAAATAATGCTTGAAGGTTCTCTTCTGTCCAAATAGGGTAGCTTTTATTTTCATATTTGCTTACAATAGTTTTCTTTTAAAAAAATGAAACTAATCTGAAAGGGCACAGACTACATCAGTGAACCACCCACCCAACATAGCTACTTAGAATCCAAATCCTTGAAGCACAACCTACTCCAGGTTTTCTATTCAGATGGTTCTCTGGAAAAAGAAAATGCAAACAAGACAACCATAGTAACATGCTTATGTAGGGATCCTGGTAAGTCAATGCTCCAATCATGCAAGACCAGTAAGCAATTTAACCCTTTGAGCACTCTAGCTCTTTCCAGGCCAGAACAACCTGGAACATACATTTCATTCTAGTTTCAATTTTACAAGCAAAGGAAATTTAATTCGGACCATACTCAAATCAAACACTATCTACTAACGGCTACTGGATTAGAACTGGTGTACTCAAAGGATTATTTTCTTTCCACCCAAAAGCCAGAAGAACTTTGTACCACATATGGTACATTAGTAGCTTTCAGTATAATAAAGCTTAGCAAAAACAAATGGAGAAAAAATAGGAGATAGGCAAGTGCAAACCCTGCTGATTCTACAGATGCAACACCTTGGATTCTCTTCAGAATTTAGCCTACCATTGACTTTGGTAGTTTCATTCTCATTTTTCAAGAGCTCGGATCCACAAAAACAGAATAGTAACTTCGTGTCTAGTTGCAGTGATGAATACAACTGAAGTGGGAGGGTTAAAAAGAGACAGTTTCATTATAATGCAAGTTTGTTCAGTATCCTACATGGTATTTACAATATTGTCATACTCATCACATCTTTAATTATAGAATCGTACAAGGTAACTTTGCAACAATACATCAACAGCCATAAAGTTGACCTTCTTGCTTTCTCACCTCAGCAGCTTCCTTCTCAAACTTTTCAATGGTTCTCTTGTCAATGCCACCACATTTGTAGATCAAATGGCCAGTGGTGGTGGACTTGCCAGAATCCACATGGCCAATGACAACAATGTTGATGTGGATCTTTTCCTTACCCATTGCTTTTGCCAGTGGGTTGTTGCCTCAGCCCTAAGGAACCAGGGATGGGAGTTAAATTGGTCGATAGAGAGAAAAAAAAAGTTACGAAGCCAAAAAACGCAATGCAGACGCCCTCTCCCCATCCCAAGTCTCCGAATTACAGGAGTCAGTGGGTTTACTCTAAAGACAGTGGCCATCTCCTCCTGTATGAGAAGTGGGGGGCGGGGGGGGAGAGCGCCTCGCTCGCCCTTCAGCCGCTTTCCCTCCTTTTCTTGTTAAGCGCATCTCTGTTATTTCTCCGAATTGTTACAGTGATAAAGATACCTGCTGCCTTTCCCTCTCTAACGCCCCCATCCCAGTTGATGTTGCTCTCCTCCATTTTGACTGACAATAACCGCAGGGACACACCGGCCATTTTCTCACTAACGGGCACCGAGCCGCCCCCACCCCCAACACACCGCTCCTCCGTAAAGGTCAAGGAAAAGCTTCACCCGTAACCGTCGCCGAACGATCACCAACGTTTACGGGAAAACGGCAGAAGAAAAAAATCTTCAAAAAAAAAGATAAAAAGCCCCACCGCCGCCCACCTGTCGGCTGCAGCCCCCCCCCTCCTATTTTATACTAAGGATGCCACAGAAAAGCGAACGCCAGTGGTGGGGGGGATAAAGAGAGCGAAGACTGCTCCAGTAATAGAAGATTAAAATATTAGGGGTCGGAGAGGGTTCCCCTCCCCTCTCAATTCACCCTGGAATTAGCCAAATCGAACCGAAACCCGTTTCGCGGCCGCCGCCTTCTAACGGGGACGCGGCTAACGGAGCTGGCCCGCAGCTTCGGTTCCCTCCAGCCCGGTCACACCATCTCCTCCAACAGCAGCACTCCCACCCCCCACCCATCCCGTTTCTTTCACCGCTTCACCTTCTCACCCTCTCGATTGAGAAAGAGGTGGTGGAGATGGTTATCGCCCGCCCTCCCGCAATGGGTCAATGCGTCGAGGGAAAGGGCCACCCGACACCCACCTGCTCCACACGCGCTCGGCGAACAGGCGGAAAGCGGCTGCGTCACGGCTATTAATAGGCGCCAGCGGGTGGGTGCTGGGAGGAGGGGGTCCGCCGATTGACTTCAATTGCGACCCCCCCGCCAACACACACAATCCGTCCCTAGCCCTCGCGCGACGACTCCGTCCCCCCGCCCCTTTGCCCTCGAGACAGGAGCTCGAGCTCGCCCGCTGCGTAAACGGATTCGACGGCGGGGGTTGGGTCAGACTGAGAGAATATCATCGCGTCCACACAGCGCAGGAGGCCATTCAGCCCGATGTGTCTGTGCTGCCTCAACAGGGAGCCACTCTCCCTCACCCACCCAATGACCCGACGCCCCCCGCTAACCTTCCAGCGGCTCTGAAAACTTTTCCTCCTCAGGTAATTCTCCTTCGAAAGCTTCCACCGCAGCCCCAAAGAAAAACGCACTTTTTGCCAATCGCTTAAAAGGGCGGTTTCTCCCAGTCTGCTGACATCTTATGTTATCTCACGTAAAATATAACCTGTTCTATTTGATTAGATGTGAGGGTTTGTCCCCAGTAGCATCTCACTGTAAGCTTTGCCACACTAACAAGTGTACCAAATTTGTTGACCATGCATCGACTGAGAGAAAGCAGTGTGGCAGGTTGAGGTGAGGGAAAAGGGGTGAAGTGTCATGTGTGTTAGTGCATATGTAGACCCCCTCCCTCCAAATTTTGAAGGGATATTTCAAGGGTTAACTTATACACCAAGTTTAAAAGTGAACCACACGTGTTTGTGGGTGACAGTGACCGTTTTGAAACACCAGCAACCAACACCAACAGTGCTACTCCCCCGCATCTTCACCAAATAGCCCATATTGCCAGCTTGATCCCCTTCATCTGTTCAGGAGATATTAGTGAGAGAAGATCTTAGATTGGAAGATCAATATCTCGAATCAGTTTAGATGGAGCTAAGAAACAGTGACGGGCAGCAAAAATTGGTGGAAGTTGTTTATAGGCCACCAAACAGTAGTGCTAATAAAACTGGAGATGCATGTAACAAGAATGATAGTGTAATCACAGAGAACTTCAGTCTACATATAGACTTGATAAAACTAATTGGCACCATTGCTATGGAGGAGGAATTCCTGAAAATGGTCTTCTTGAGGAACCAAGTAAAGAATAGATTGCACAAAACTAGATTTAAAGTAATGAGAAAAGACTGATTAATAATCTTGTAAAGGAGCATTCAGGGATGAATTACCATAATATTTGGGAAGTTTGAAAATAATGCGGTTCAATTATAAGAACAGTCAGGTTATGATAGAACTATGTAGGTCATTGTACTCTAGTTGTGTCCTAATCAATGTGCATTTCTGGATGAGGGACAAGTTGGCTATGGTAAATTGAGAAAGTACATTACATAAGAACTAGGAGCAGGAGTAGGCCATCTGGCCCCTCGAGCCTGTCCCGCCATTCAATAAGATCATGGCTGATCTTTTTGAGACTCAGCTCCACTTACCCGCCCACTCACCATAACCCTTAATTCCTTTACTGTTCAAAAATTTATCTAGCCTTGCCTTAAAAACAGTGAGGTAGCTTCAACCGCTTCACTGGGCAGGGAATTCCACAGATTCACAAGCCTTTGGGTGAAGAAATGCCGCCTGACCTCAGTCCTACATCTGCTTCCCTTTATTTTGAGGCTATGACCCCTAGTCCTAGTTTCACCTGCTACTGGAAACAACCTCCCTGCCTCCACCTTATCTATTCCCTTCATAGTCTTAGATGTTTCTATAAGATCTCCCCTCATTCTTCTGAATTCCAATGAGTATAATGCCAGCCTATTCAGTCTTTCCTCATAATCCAACCCTCTCAACTCGGAATCAACTGAGTGAATCTCCTCTGCATCCCCTCCAGTGCTAGTATATCCCTTCTCAAGTAAGGAGACCAAAACTGCACACAGTACTCCAGGTGTGGCCTCACCAGGACCCTATACAGCTGCAGCATAGCCTCCCTGTTTTTAAACTCCATCCCTCTAGCAATGACAGACAAATTAAAGACAGACACTAAAGGTTATGACCGAAGACTAACACTGGCTAGCCTTTAAAGAATTAATAAATTATTTACAGCAAATATACATTCCTTTAAGGCATAAAAACCTAACCACAAAAATGATTCAACCATGGCTAACGAGAGAAAGATTCTAGGAGATCTCAAAAAGAGACTTATAAAGTTGCCAAAAAAAATAGAAAGTGTAAGGATTGGGAATATTTTAGAACTCAGCAAAGCAAGGCCAAGAAACCGATGAAGGGAAAATATAATACAAAGGTAAAAGAGCAAAAAAGCATAAAATCAGATTGTAAAACCTTCTGTATATGTATCCAAAGAGGAAAAGACTAATAAAGCCAGATGTGGGCCCATTACAGGCAGAGTCAGTACAGTTTATAATAAAGAATAAGGAAATGACAGAAAATTTACAAATAGTTTGTATCTTGTCTTCACAGAGGAAAATATAAACAGTCACCTGGAAATGAGAGAATCTGAATTAGTGAAAATGGGAAACTAAAATAAATTAGCATTACTAAAAATGTAGCATCTGAACCTGATGATCTATACATCTCAATGTTGAAAAGAATGCTGTAAAAGTAATGATCCTTAAATGATTGTATTTCAAGTTTTTTAAGACTCTGAAACAGTCTGTACAGATTAGAAGGTAGGAAATATAACTCCACTATTTAAGAAAGAAGATAACAGGGAACTGTAGCTTTGTTATTCTGACATCAGTCATCAGGAAATACAATCATGAATTATAAAGGATGTGCTAACTGCACAATGGAAAATAATGGTAAGTTTAGGCAATGGCAAAAGGAATTTATGTAAGGAAAATTATGTTTGACAATGTGAATGGAACTAGCAGAATAGACAAAGGGGAACTAGTAGACGTGGTGTATTTGGATTTTCATAAAGTATTCAACAAGGTCCAGTTCTGTAGTAAGCCAAATAACTAGGAAGAGGGTTTTAAATTAAATGACTAGGGCAAAGGATCAAATTTGATTTACTGCATCTTCCCAAAGAGCATGGGAAGGAAGAGAGAATGGTGTTAATACGGAAAATGATAAACAGACCATGATGGAAAGGAACAGAGAGTACAAATCCATGAGTAAATCCACTGATTGTTCGAAAGATTAGAAAAATAATAACTAAAGGCTCAGTATCTGAATGCACATAGCAAAAGAAAACTGAGCACAAGTATAATTAAGTAAGTGAAATACAACAGCCATTACAGAGAGATGACTGTGGACTGAGGTAGGTTGGGACCTGAATATTGAAGATTACATGACATATAGGAAGAATAGAAAGCAAGGAAAAGGTGGAGGTGTAGCTATGTTAATTCATGATGGTATTAGCACAACAAAGAGGGATGTCCTGAGTTTTCAGAATAGCACATGTAGAAGTAATTTGGATGGAGATGTTAAATGATCAAGTCAAGTCATTGAGTCATACAACACGGAAACAGACCCTTCAGTCTGTGGGGGAGTTCAAAACTAGTGGGCATAGTTTTAAGGTGAGAGGACAAAGACTTAAAAGGGACCCGAGGGGCAACTTTTTCACAGAGGATGGATTTTATGTGGAACAAATTACGAGAGGAAGTGGTGAATGCAGGTACAGTTACAATATTTAAAAGATATTTGGACAGGTACATGAATAGGAAAGGTTTAGAGGGATATGGGCCAAATGCAGGCAAGTGGGACTAGTTTAGTTTGGGAAACTTGATCGGCAGGGACAAGATGATGGGAATGACGTACAGGTCCCCTAATAGTAACCACAAAATAGGATGGAGTATATACAGGAGAAATAATGAGAATGTATCAGAAAAGTACAGCAATAATGTGGGGTATTTTAATCTGCAAACGGACTGGAAATATTGGATAGGCAAAAGCAACTTAGATGAGAAGTTTATGGACTGTTTCTCGGCTAATTTCTTAAGATAGTACACTGAGGAGCCAACCAGATGTCAGGCTATTCTAGACCTGCTCTTGTACAATGAGATACGATAAATGAATGACCTAGTCGTGAAGGCACCCTTAATGAGCAACAACCATAGTACGATTGAATTTTACTTTCAGCTTGAGAAAATGAAGTATAACCAAGTCCAGTATTTTAAACTGAAATAAAGGCAATTATGATGGCATGAAAACAGAACTTTGGTAAAGAATTCCAGAGAATTACAAGCTGAGAAAAGAACTTCCTCTTCATCTCGGTTGTAAATTGATAACCCTTTATTCCGAGACTATGCCCTTTGGTCCTAAACCCTCCCATGAAGGGAAACATCCTCTCAATACTCATCCAGTTAAACCTTTTCAGAATCCTACATGTTTCAATGAGATAATCCCTCATGCTTCTAAAATTCAGTGAATGGAGTCCCCACCTGTTTAGCCTTTGCTCAGAAGACAATCCCTCCATATTGGAGCTCATCCTAGTGAACCTTCTCTGAAATGCCTCCAAGGAAATGATGTCTTTGCTTAAATAAGGAGACAAGAACTGTTCACATCACTCCAGATGTGGTCTCATCAGCATCTTGTACTGTTGCAGTAAGACTTCCCTACTCTTCTACTCCAACCCCTTGAAATAAAAGGGCAACATTCCATGAGCCTTCCTGATGACCCATCTGCTAGCTTTCGGTCACATGCACAAGTAATTACCCCACATCCTTCGGTGTTTCAGCTTTCTGCAGGTTTTTTCATTTAAATAATATTCTGTTCTTTTATTTCCTCTTGTTGGAGAATTTAGAATAAGAGTCACTGTTTCAAAACAAGGGATCACCCATTTAAGATGGAGATGGGGAGAATTTTTGTTTTTACAGAGAGTTGTGAGACTTTGGAACTTTGTTCATCAAAAGGTAGTGGAAACAGAGTCCTTGAATTATTTTAAGGCAGAGATAGAGATTCTTGAAAAACAAAAGGGTGAAAGATTATTAGGGAATGTAGAGTAATCACATTAGTGATCCCATTACCAAATGGCAGACCATGCTTAAGGGGCTGTGGCTTACTTTTGCTTCTATTTCATATGTTTGAATGAGTCTCTCAAGAGCTTAGTGACCAAAATCAGGGGAAACGGGATCAGGGCTACTATGCTTGCAAGAA